ATTTTACAGAGAAAAAAAACAGAATAACGACTTTCATCAAGACGATTTGGAACAAGAACACTACAAAAGCATTATGTGAGAACAGTAACACTATACAATATCATTAAGTGTAGTACAAGACAACACACACGTATACACACACAGACAAGACACAAGTCCAAACACTTTCCGACCCTACACCCCTCGCCCCCTCCTTGCTTTGTGCTGAAGGCATCACTGATTCTTCATGTATATAATTTTGTAACTACTTGATATTCAGATGATAATGTGATAATACACCCAAACAAATCATAATCTTTCAGGGCATTGTTGGTTGGTACACTTGAGTATGATACAATAAGTCCCAAAGTGAACCAACCAACAAGTGTGAACCAGAACTGGTCCAGTTAAAGTGAACCAGGCCAGTGTGAAGAAGCTGTCATGATTCAAACAGAAGGAGGACCCAAAATTCAATACTGAAAGAAATAAAATAAAATAATAAACATGAATCCAAAAGAAAAACTCAACTGAATGTAAAATACAGGAACTGGGGAAAAAGACACACTGGATTGACAATAAGAGGGAAAGAGCGCCGGGAATTTAACTGGGAAACAGAGGTGTAAAACATCAGGGCGGGGCAGGCAATTTACAGAACAGGAAGTAAAACTCAAAATACACGGTAGAACAGATAATACATAATTAAACAGGGACTAAAAATGACACTAACCCTTCATGACACTGCTTTAATGCCTCAAATTATGCCTATATTCGTCAAAAATAATAGTTTTTTTTTTCAAGAGTGACCGTCGCCTTAGAACAGACTTTTTGAAGAATGTTCTGCACGCTCCTCCCACTTCACATGTTGAAAGAGGACGGGAAAAAAGAACATTCAGCACTTTCTTCTTCCCCACCTCATGCGCCCCGACATCATATTTTCCATCGCTGTCCATACATTTGGTCCACACATTTTTCTCTTGACTTCTATACGCTCAATTTTCTCCCTCCAAACCCTCGGCCGCATCAGCAATCTCTTGGGTACAATCATTGCAGTCAATCTTTCACCTTCAAAAATTGAAATAAATGGGCCATTGTTGCCCTCTTCCTGAGCATATAACTGTCTATAGTTGAATTTGGTTAAACTGGAAGTCAGACTGGAAGGTAAAGAATGCATCCAGAAAAATCTCTAAGGCTCTACCACTCACTGATTCTGGGCGATGGTTGCTGTTATTCCCCGCTATTTGGAAAGAGTTTTATATCTGCTTGAAGCTGTATGGTGTTTTTTTTGTAGGTAGTTGATGGTATTTTAATTGAAAGGCTCTTGTCAAGCCAGTTCTTAGAAATCCAGTTTGCTTTGCCTGGCATCAAAACCACACTCGACCTCTCGCTCCGCCATCGTCTTCCCTCTTTGAGAAACATTCTTATCATTTGAAAGGATTCAGAACCACAATAGCTTGGATGGATATAGTCAAATAGACGCCACACAACATCTGAAATGACATTATTATCAAAGTCCAGAGCGTGAATGCCACCAATAAACATGTGTAATAAAAGAATAATAAAAGGATTGCTGGAGTTCCGCGATTTCACCTCTCACCTCCAATGCTTTGTCAATTCAGAAATTTAAGATAATCCATCCATAAATTGAGATAACCAATGATAAAAACCTCGAGTCATTCACTTATAAGTCATTGCACTGTAATTGAACTCGAGTAATCTGTTTTGAGTGTGTGATTACTTAAGATGTAAAAGTGTGTCCCATCGCATCTCCGTGACCATAAACAGTAGATCATTGTTTGTTCCTCCATCTATTGCCCTGTTGTTTCCTGAAACCCATTGACTTTTGTTCTGGTTAGATATGGTAATGTTTTAGACCATCCAGTGTCATTGACATTGACAAAACTAATTGTTAGTTTCATATCAAACCTTCTATTCTCAATTATATAATATGTATTAAAGTCATCCACAATACTTTAGGTTCAAGATAATATTCTTAGAAATCACAGAACGAGTTTGAAATAGAATGTCAGTAATGTAATGAAAAGTGTGTCCAGAATAACAGATTATACTTGTTCTTGTTCTACTCCTATAGATAATCAAGAATTTTCACAACTTTGAATCTAAGAAATTACATATTTTGTGATATTTCAAAGTGAAACATTTTTGAGTTGTTAGACATATATTATAATTAGGGCTGTCAAAATTATTGCGTTAACTCACGTTAATTACATTTTTTATTAACGCGTTATTATTTTTTAACGCATTAACGCATGTCCGAATGACCCGCCCATTTATCCATAAGAATATCACTCAGAATGCTGCGTGTGAGATGGCCTCCTCCGTGGCCGCTCTGGTTGTTGTTAGCGGCTGTGAGTGAGTGCAAGCTTTGCACGGGCTGCAAGCATGGATCTAGCTATTATAATAACAGCAGCAAGCGATTGCTCCGTTCACATACTCAGCGCTCTGCGCACTGTATTTTCCCTGGTTCTTGTCTGTCAGGCGCGCTCTGCGCACTGTATTCTCCCTGGTTCTTGTCTGTCAGGCGCGAGTGTTGCTCTGTGTGTCTTTGGGAACTAATTATTTTAAAATAGTCTCTTTCAATTGCAAGTTTTGTAATGTGTTTGTTTGATCAATGGATAAAAATAAATGCAATTTAATTAAATGGCACCTTGGCCTGTCTTATACCTGTTTGCCTGCAGGACAGTTCCCTAAACTAACATATCATACTAAATAGGGTGGGGTTGTTGCAACAATTAATCTACTTAGAAGTTATCCTAAATTATAGCCAGCTAAAGCTCGGTACTAAGACAAACGAACAAGTAACGCAATAGTTACTTTTACTGGTAACTAGTTACTTTTATAGTGGAGTAACTCAGTTAGTAAGTCAATTACTTTTTGGAAGTAACTAGTAACTATAACTAATTACTTTTTCAAAGTAACTTACCCAACACTGGTAATTATATTTGATAATCTCATTTAACTTCAATTGGAGTGGATTTGAAATAGAATGTTAAAAATGTGATTAATCGTGAGTTAACTCACCATTACTATGCGATTAATCAACTAAAAATATTTAATCGTTTGACAGCCCTAATTATAATATACAGTTGTTTTAGATCTGTCAATGCTAATATCATGGACAAATAACTCCCTCCTTCTATCTAAAATTGATTGTTCATCCACTAGCACCAGCACCAGCATTTCTCTGCTGTAATCTGCGCATCGATGACACTGACATTTCTCCACTGCGAGACGAATAAAGGTGTATCTTATCTTGTCGTATCTTACTGAGTATGACATCATACTCAGTGCAGATTTCTGCCTTTTAAAAGTTTTCAAGTGAAACAATGTTCTCTACAATATTTTTTTGTGTAATGTTTGATATCAAAAAATTTGAAGAAACTAAACAAATTCAATATTCATATCTTTATTATCCTTCATTTTTGTTTCATCATATATTGGCTTATCTACTGCTCCACCATCTAAAACATGACATGACAAAATAGATTGTCATTTCATTTTTAATGGCCAAACATAATGTGTTATATTCTTATTTATATAAACTCCTCCAGTCCCACCTTCCCTCCAGAGCGCTGCGCACTGCAGATCAGCACCTTCTTGTCGTCCCTAGGACCAGGCTGAAGACCAGAGGAGACAGAGCTTTTTCTGTTATAGGGCCAAAGTTGTGGAACCCTTTACCTTTGCAAATTAGAACTGCACAATCACTCGTGCACTTTAAATCCCTACTTAAGACACATCTTTTTTTCTTGGCTTTTAATACCAAGTAGACGGAGACAAAATTTTTTTTTTTTTTTTTTTTTTTAATATATTTCTGTATTTTATGTGTTTTTATTTTTATCCACTTATTTTCCTTGCTGTCTGTTCAGCACTTTGGTAAGCCTAGGCTGTTTTAAATGTGCTCTACAAATAAAGACTTGATTGATTGATTGATTGATATGTTTTCCATTGGAAATCATCAACATTTTCCACACTAAATAATTCCCAGTGGAACCTGCATTTCAATAAAATTTGTTTCTTATTTTTTGCAGATTAAACAAAGTCGTTCAACTCTGGGACATCAAGAGCTAATGGGGACCTCTCACAGCTCTCCATGCAATTATGTAATGCACCGAAGCTTCTGGTACGTGATGATAACAAACGCTGTAATGTCTTGTAATGTCTTGAATGAAGAGTGCTTAAGTTTGTTGTCTTTTTTTCCAGATCACCATTTAAGAAAATCCACCCAGGGCAAGATGAGCTGGAGCTTCCTCACTCGCCTCCTGGAAGAAATCCACAACCACTCCACCTTTGTGGGGAAAGTTTGGCTCACTGTCTTGATCATCTTTCGTATAGTTCTGACCGCAGTCGGTGGCGAGTCCATATATTCCGACGAACAGACAAAATTCACTTGCAACACCAAACAACCGGGATGCGACAATGTTTGCTATGATGCCTTTGCACCCCTTTCCCACGTGCGCTTCTGGGTTTTCCAAATTATCATGATCTCTACTCCGTCCGTCATGTACATGGGATACGCAATCCACAAAATAGCTCGGACCTCGGAGGAAGAACGGCGCAAAAGGCAAAGACTAGAGCGACGTAAAAAGCAGCCTCCACATTCCCGATGGCGCGATGGCGAACATATCGAAGAGGTCATGGAAGAGCATGTCGACAGCGAGGCGGAACCGATGATTTTTGAGGATGCGCTTGAGATGCAAGACTTGAGACCTGAATCTGGCCCAAACAAAGTGCAAACGAAGTACGACGGTCGCCGGAGAATTGTTCAAGAAGGCCTGATGAGAATTTATATCCTACAGCTTACGTCAAGAGCTGTTTTTGAGGTTGCATTCTTGGCGGGACAATACCTCCTTTACGGCTTCAAAGTCAATCCGTCGTTTGTTTGCAACCGGATCCCGTGCCCACATAGAGTTGACTGTTTCATTTCCAGACCTACGGAGAAAACCATCTTCCTTCTAATAATGTACATAGTGAGCTGCCTCTGTCTGATTCTAAACTTGTGCGAGATGATACACATAGCCATCGGCACGTTCCGAGACTCCATGCGCCGAAGAAGAAGTCGGGGGACCTTAACCCCTTACCGCTACCCATTCTCGCGGAACATCCCCTCGTCTCCTCCCGGATACAACCTGGTCATTAAGAACGACAAACCGGGGCGGATTCCCAACAGCATCATTCCGCACGAGCAAAACATGGCCAACTCGGCACAAGAGCAGCACTGCGGAAGCCCGGACGAGAACATACCATCTGATTTGGCGAGCTTGCATCGGCATTTACGGGTCGCCCAAGAGCAGCTTGACATGGCCTTTCAGACTTATCAAACCAAAAATACGGAGCAGACGTCGAGGTCGAGCAGTCCTGTGTCCATGGCGGAGCAAAACCGAGTGAATATGGTTCAAGAAAAGCAAGGAGCAAGGCCAAAGTCAGCAGACAAGACGGCTGGCAAAAATGGAAAGACGTCAGTTTGGATTTAGAATTTGAAGTTTCTGTGTAATCTTCTATGACAATGACATTTAGATACAGGGACAGCACTCATCACTCTCTGTCTCTGAAGAGTTCAGTTACTGAGCGTGGGGAAAGGTTACTATGGCACCAGCAAATATGTTTTGGCATAAAAGGACTTTTGGTGGATAAAATGCTGCTGGCATTTTATAAAGACTCTATTAAAGAAAAAGATTTTTGGGGCTTGCCAATAATCTCACTATTCACTTAAGGTCGTATACTGTACAGGCTACGAGTAGTATATAGGCTATAGTGTTACTTGTAAAAAACCAAAAGGTAGAACCTTTAGGTCATTTGTAGGGTTTATTTAATTTCAAAACTAGTTTTTAAATATGGAACAGAGCTTAGTTTGTTTTATTCAACTCATAACATGTATTTTTACTGTATTTATTTCTTCATGACTATTTTAACATGAACAATGTCATGTTGACAACTGTGCAAACCTCCTGAATAGTCCCTTGTGTATCTGACACTCCAATCTGTGGAGTTGGAATTCACGACCAGACCAGTTGTGTTCTTACATTACATAATCTACCGCTTTTCAGTGTTGAGTTTTGGCCATTGAAAGAAGACTAATTAACGGAGTGAGAAACACAAAGGTGTTTTGAGAAACACAAAGGTGTTTTGAGAACACAGAAGTGTCATCTGTGTGAATAAGGCTTTTCCAGGAAGCACAGCAGGCGTCAATCCTGCCATCTACTGGAAGACAGAAAACTAACACATGTTTTTGATTTAACATTAACATTGTGCCAAGTGTACATTTCCACCAGTTGAGAAAAGAGCAGCAGAAGTAGATATTTGTGAAAATTACAGAAATATTTATATTGTATTTTATAATACTTGAGTGTAATACTTTGTGTTTTGAGAACACAGAAGTGTCATCTGTGTGAATAAGGCTTTTCCAGGAAGCACAGCAGGCGTCAATCCTGCCATCTACTGGAAGACAGAAAACTAACACATGTTTTTGATTTAACATTAACATTGTGCCAAGTGTACATTTCCACCAGTTGAGAAAAGAGCAGCAGAAGTAGATATTTGTGAAAATTACAGAAATATTTATATTGTATTTTATAATACTTGAGTAAATGCTGCTGAAAATATCTTGAATAAGCCTAATGTTTTATTGCTGCACAACAGTACACTATTCATAAATGTGAATCATGTTTGTTTCAGCATTTAAACTTTTACTGATACATGTTGTTAAAGAGCACACACTGCAAAAAATGAGAGGATATGAGGTAATGAATTTAAGGTTTTTTATCTTCATTTGAGTACATTCTGTCTGTCTTAAAACAAGATTTGCCAACGGGACAAAGTCTAATTTCAAGAACTGTTGCTTGGTTTTCTCCTTCCAAGGGAGACTTTTCTTGTATCTTTATAAATCAAGATCAGTCAAATGCAGTCAAAATGTGATCAAATTAAGATACATTTGGCCAAATTTGAGCAATTTTTGGCTTGTTTTTCATCACTTTTTGCAGTGTGATCTAATATTTGAATACCATTTACTGTAGGCAACTTACCTTCTGAAGGGAATAGAAGAATGCATGCTTTAGAACCGTCTACAGCTACACAATGGCTTCTCATGGGTTTCTCTATGGTAGAGTACCACTGGTGTGTACTGGTGCACACTGGGGAAGTCTGGCAGTTTTTCTAATGTGGTTTTACTGCAAATGGCAATTAAATTCTTAAATATTGAATTGAGTCACTGCAGTGTCAATGTGCAATGTCCTCACAGTGTAATTCTAGTCAGGAGTGGGTCAGCTGCCCTGGAACCCATGAACAGGCAAACACTATAGTCCCACTTCCATTTGCCTTCTTATAGAATCATTAGTGCGATATCATGATAATAGTTTGTAGTGTCTCACTCTCCACACATCTTAGAAGTGCCTTCCTTGAACAAAGACTGTTTTATTTATTGAATAAATGTATTCCAAACATGTGTCCTATTTGTGTAACTTATTCACTGCAGATACAGGATGGGTCTTTTTTTGTTGATTAGTTCTTTAGATCCCGAAAGGTTTAGTGATTTTGTTACTTTGCGAAAGGCGATATATAAATAAAGATTACTTACTTTTTTATTTTTGATATGTTTGACCATGACGTTATAACATAGAAATGACCTGTTACTTTTTCGTGGGTTTGATTCAAAACATACTTTGTAAACAATTTATTTTTCCCATTCTGCATTCTGTCATTTTACAATTATTCAATTCAATCACACTTATTTTTGTATAGCAACACAAATCAGAGAATCAAATGCAAATGATAAAAAACAGAGAGCCATTGATCCATAAGGGGCAGATGACAATGTCCATAAATGTTGTTGAGTGTTGAGTGTCCTGGACCAACACGACTGTCGGACAGCTTTTTAAAGATTCAATAAATTTGGGTAAACAGATTCACTTTTTATTGCCTGTCTCATGTAGAAAGTGCAAAATGAACACACTTAATGCATCATATTAGTTCTTTAATATTCTGCACCTCTCTGAATTTGCTCATTATTTTTTATCTTTTCTTAATCTTAATATCAAATGTTTAAACACCCACTGCTGTGTGCACTTTGCAAACATGGTTCTCTCCGCAGGTCTGCCCGAAAGCACAGACCACAGACTGTAGAAATAATACACAGTCTATGTCTACGGCCTGAAGGAGCAACGAACATATATTGGAGCCAAAAGTTCTGTTTTTTTATGGAGATGAATAGAGGATGGGGTTATGTTTGATAGAAACCGATTATATAAAAAATGAAAATAATTATACCCACATAGAAAAATCATAGACAGTGTGTAAAGTATAATGATATATAAGAGATGCTTTATTTATACCAAAATGCAGAATGCAGTGTTGCATGAGTGAATATTCACTCCTAGAGCAGGTCAGCGGGTGCACTTGTATATAATAATCATTGTAAAAATTTTACTTTTTAATTTGTGATATTTTAGAAAGTTTTATACATTAGAATTTTTTTATTTTGCCTTTTTCTATCTCTACTTTTGACTTGTTTGCATCGAGAGCCAAAGCCATTTTCTAGACTGAGACTTCCTGTTACATGGCAATAAAAATTATTCTGATGCTGAAATTAATATATACTTGTATGTACACATCTATAGATAAACCTGTCCAACACTCTCGTCTAGTGCAAAACTGTCGAAGTCTTGAAGTTTACTTATTTTTATTTTTTGTAATTACAAAAAGACAAATATATACAGCGATACATACAATGACAAAGACAAAAACTAAAATATTTACATTATATACAGAAACAAATGACATTCATAATGGGTATGATTGGAAAAAAGGTATTATATATGATTTTATGACTTTAATGATTAGAATAATTAGAATATAGAGGGGCGTTAAAGGGAGACATTAGTTTTTATGGTTGGTGTATTAAGGTTTTGAATAATTTGACTGTGGAGTTGGCCAATTATACTAGTTTTATATATTAGTGTGTTGTGACGTCACAGGTCACGCACACGTTATGTTGTTTTCGTCCGGTGCATTGTGGGATGTCAAAATGGCGCCGACCGTCACGAGCACTGGTGTCATTCATGGATCTACAATTGTCCTTTAGTTCGATAGTGTCATGTGATATTTACATCCCCTGGCTTTAGAACCTTTAGAACCGCACATCATGGGTGTCTTATCTCTGACTCTCCTCTCGGGGCGACACCTCCTGCGTCACGCCCGCCTCTCCCCCGTCACTGTCCGCAGAGGCTGGAGTGAGCTGGCCCCGGTCCGGCCCCGGTGCTTCCCGCTCTCTCACCGGGCTCTGCTGAAGATCCACGGCCCGGACACCAGCGCCTTCCTCCAGGGAATCATCACCAACGACATGCGGCTGCTGGAAGAGCCAGAGCAGGCCACGCTGTACTCCCACCTGCTGAACGTACAGGGCAGGACGCTGTTTGACGTCTTACTCTACAGGTAGTAAATAAGATGTACTGATGAGGAGAGGGAGGTTTAATTGTATAGCACAGAGGTCCAACCACGTGGCTCGAGAGGTACCAGTAGCTCCCCAAAAGATTCAAGATTTTTTGTTTTTAATTTCTCAAAATATTGTTTTTTTTAAATCATTTTATTTTACATTTTCTAACAGCAAAATTAAAAATAAAAAAATCACAAATTATAATTAATATTTAATTTTAAAAAATTGTAGAGCACAGCGGAACAATATGTACAACAGGTACCAGTAGCTTGCCACCCTCTTTCAGGTAGCTCCCCAAAAGATTCAAGATTTTTTGTTTAAATTTCTCAGAATATTGTTTTTTTTTATCATTTTATGTAACATTTTCCAACAGCAAAATAAAAAAATCACAAATAATAATGAATATGCGAGGGAAGTTTTTTTTGTATTGCACAGAGGAAAAAACAAGTGGCTCGAGAGGTACCTGTAGCCCCCCAGTATTTATTTATCAGAATATTGTTTTCTTAAAAAAAAAAAAATCATTTTATTTAACATTTACCAACATCAAAATTCAAAAATAACAATAAATATACAAGGGAAAATGTAGTTGTAGGTCCAACCATGTTAGCTCCTCAAAGGATTCAAGAAATGTTTTTTTGTGTATTTTTTTTTTTTATCTCAGAATATTTTTTTTTTTCTTAATCATTATTTGTAAAAATTTTCCGACAGTAAAAATCACAAAAAAAAAACCAATGTGTATGCATCATGGCTGAATTTGAAAAATAATATATATATATTTTTTTAAATCAAGAATTTAACGCAAGATCCTGAATGATTCACTTTTGAGTCCTTCCATGTCTATTTTAACTATAAATCTGTACAGTATGATGGTATATTATTCATGTATATGTTCTCCATGATTGGCTGTAGTTATTTTATAGACTGGTAAAAGGAGTAGCTCTCTGCCTTTTCTGTTTTTATCAAAGTATCTCTCCATTAAAAAAAGGTTAGAGACCCCTGATATAGCACAATGCCAACACAAAAGGCAACTCAAAGAACTTCCAAAACCAGAGAGGAAACTGAAGGGTGCGACCTCTGTGTTCTTATCTTACTTATGCAGACACGGTGTCTTTTGACAATCTGTTGATATATTTTAAAACTGGAATAATATAAATACATTCTTTAGTAATTCAATATTTAGTAATACAAATTCTATACCGTGTCTTGCATTGAAAAGTAAACTCTTCATACTCTGTAGCTGTTTGTGTCACATTCACCACTTTGGACTTAAACAAATTTTGTTTTTTGCTGCTCTTGGTCTTTATGCCACTGATGCAAGTACAATACAGACTTTTTCAGATTTATTTCAGTAGAAGTCATGCACTAAGTATGTGGTATTGTATTTTAATCCGTCACACTTTTAGTCTGATTGAACCTTCTACATTCAAAACCTATCTAACAGTATTGTGACAGGCCGTGTTGATTGTAATCATTAAGAAATAGGTTCAATATTATAATGTATTAATGATTCCTCTCGCTGTTCCTCTCTGCAGACTCCAGGAAGCCGATTCCCTGTGTGGCGTTCTCCTGGAGTGCGACGGCGGACTCACAAACTCCCTCCTGAAACATTTGAAAATTTACAAAATCCGGCGCAAAGTGACCGTGGAGCCGTGTCCCGAGCTGTCCGTTTGGGCCGTGCTTCCCGGTGAGGCCAGTAAACCCGAGCTGCTGACCCCAGAGAAGGCCACTGCGCTGGAGGCCGATCCCAGGACAGAGAGCATGGGCTGGAGACTCGTGATGGACAAGAGCGAAGACCCAAACCACGTCATCCCATCGTTTCATAAAGGAGAGGTGGAGGAGTATCACAAGCACCGATACTCGATAGGTAACGCTTTATGATTAGAGGAAATGTGCTTTATGATTGTATTTGGATTGAATGCTCTGATTCTATTGTATTTTATGGATTTACTTGGATCCCCATTAGCTTCCGCAAATGGTTGCTAGTCTTCCTGGGGTCCACATCGCTCATAAACAAATAATAGTTTATGACATTAACGGACATGAGGCAAAATGTGGGTGTTTTTGGAGTTTATAATTGAAATAAACTCAAAAATACAACAACAAAAATACTGTTGTCAAAAATAGATCTGACATAATTTTTAGCTCCATCCACAATAATATTTCAATTCAATTCTTTTTTGTATAGGCCTAAATCACAACAGTAGTCATCTCGAAGGACTTTACAAAGCTGTCGATGAGCAAGAGCAGACCAGCGCCGCTCCTGATTGGCTCTTTAGTTGCTAGGATGTTTCTACCCACAAATGTCAAAGTAAATATTCTCACGATGGTGTTAAACTACGGGACAAAATTAACAAATAATGCAAAGAGATGATTCAAAATGTGTTTTTATCTCACTCTAACACACAAGTCACTTTACCGGTTGCTAGTCACTTTACCAGGTGCTAGTCACTTTACCAGGAGCTAGTCACTTTACCAGGTGCTAGTCACTTTACCAGGTGCTAGTCACTTTACCAGGAGCTAGTCACTTTACCAGGTGCTAGTCACTTTACCAGGAGCTAGTCACTTTACCAGGAGCTAGTCACTTTACCAGGTGCTAGTCACTTTACCAGGTGCTAGTCACTTTACCAGGAGCTAGTCACTTTACCAGGTGCTAGTCACTTTACCAGGAGCTAGTCACTTTACCAGGTGCTAGTCACTTTACCAGGAGCTAGTCACTTTACCAGGTGCTAGTCACTTTACCAGGAGCTAGTCACTTTACCGGTCGCTAGTCACTTTACAGGCTACAACAGCTACAACAGCTACAACAGCTACCTGCAGTGATGAGTTGGCGGATAAAAACTTTGTCTGATGCTTAAGTTGCCACATTTTTCATTAGCATTTAAAAACCCTTCTTTGAGTCAGAGAGTGTAGGTCGTCTTCGTGGTCTAGTGGTTAAGTAGCGACACATGAGTCCCGACAACCCGGTATCGATTCCGAGAGAGATCTATGTTTTGGATTAAACTATATATATTATATTCTATGACAGATTGCTCAAGAACGGTAAAAGGTAAAATCATTTTTTTGCAGATTAAAGCTAAGAGCCAAATCTTTATTTGGCCCTCTGTGTTTGTATAGACTATATAAACACAGAGGGCCAAATGAAAGATTAGATTTGTAGGATTACATAATCTGGTTATGTGGTCGTTATCGGGGCCCCCAAGGATTCTGTTGCCTGGGGCCCTGGGGTACACTTGGATCGCACTGATTGTTTATTCTGCCAAAGTACAATATAAACTTCTAAAGTACAATGGTAAACATCTGTAGATACATTATGATGCTGATAACTACAGTGTATCCTCCACTAGTGACTTATTCTTGAACCAAGTGCTATTAAAGCTCCAGAGTTTTATTTTTTTGATCATCTATTATCTTAAATAATAGATAGAATAGATAGACTGATGAACTTTCCCCACTGTGGTATATGTGGTGTGGGACAAATAAAGGATTATCTAATCTTATTTCAACTTCCTCCGGTTGTGTGTATAGCGTAAACATGTACCGTACTCGTCTCCGTAGGTCTGCCTGAGGGAGCGAAGGACATCCCCCCCGGCGTGGCCCTCCCTCTAGAATCCAACCTGGTCTTCATGAACGGCATCAGCTTCACCAAGGGCTGCTACATCGGACAGGAGCTCACCGCCAGGACCCATCACACGGGCGTTGTCCGGAAAAGACTCATGCCCACCCGCCTCTCCGCTCCGTTCTCAACCCAAAACCTGGAGGAAGGAGCCCCTCTGCAGACCCGCGAAGGCAAGCCGGCCGGGAAGCACCGGTCTGGGCTCGGGGACTTGGGTCTAGGCCTGGTGAGAACAACTCAAGCCAAAGAAGAGCTGACAGTGAAATCTGTGGATGGCCAAACTGTGACGCTGAAGGCCTCGGTGCCGGATTGGTGGCCCCTAGAAGCCAAGCTCAACTTAGAGAGAGTTTGAAATTGACAGTTATGTTGTCACTCCATACACTGCAAAAAGTGATTAAAACAAGCCAATATATGCTTAAACTTTGCAAAAATGTATCTTTATTTGAGCACATTTTGACTGCCTTAAAACCCAATTTGCAAAATGTTCTTGTTTTAAAAAGATACAAGAAATGTCTCTTTTGGTGTGAGAAAGGAGTGTCCTCAAATTAAGATAAAAACTACTAGATTCAAGCAATTCTTACCTCATATTGTATCATTTTTGCAGTCACCTTAAGGCTTTCATAGACACAGGCCGAAAGCAGAGGATGTGTGTCAAATGTTGTGCAATTGTGTGTCTCTGAAATATATCCTTGAAAAGTGTTCATTGGATGTTGGATTGAAGTGTATTTTTAAAATGAAGCAACCAAATGTTATTTTTGCCTTTGTTATTTATGAGTATTTTTGTGTAAAGGTGTTCTATGATGTCCTGGTTGGTCTGGAGCTCCTTCCAAATGTAAGAGGAAAATAAATGAACAAATATACTTATAAGACTAGTTTAATGTAGGGCTGTTGGGTTGTTGCCAAAAGGTTTGTGAATAAGGAATTTTTTAAAACATGATTCGACCATAACAAAGCATGTGTAAGTCAAAGTAAGGTTCTAACAACAATTTTAATACTCATTCATTGCAATGTTGCATAAAAAATCAAAATAATACAAAAATGACCTTTAAAAAGTGTTACATATTTTAATATTTAGATAATGAACGGATTAATCCTTTAGCTAAAATGGAAAAATACAGTTTGTCTCGTTTCTCAAAATGTACATCAGAATATCCACTCTAAAGACAAGATGTACATTCGTAAACTGAGAAAAAACAATACAAATTCGAAGGGAAATAATAGTGTCCAGAACACATCATGAATCCATTATAATATCGTATTACAGTTGCTCTCTGGCGACCTCTGCTGGTGTAAAGTGTTTGTTGATCAGAATGTTTGAATAATATTTCATCCCATTTGTAAAAAACTGCAGAGAATTGAGGCATGAAATCGAACACTATTCAAAAATAATTTCTTGAATGACAATCTGACTTAACCATAACACTTCTGACTACTATAAGTCCTACAGACACCAAGAACATGGATAGGAGGCAAAACTGACAGACGCATAAATATTTATTTTTTCTTACAGAGCATCAGAGAAATCCAATTCCGCAAAGACAAAGATGAAATAACAAACGCTCCAATAGCACCGTGTGTGTCTCACAGCCAGCTCTCGTTCTGGATGTGAAACTGACCCTACATTTTACTGATAATTCCCTCAATTTAAAGAAACCAGTCATTTATACACTATTTTAATACACATTGGTTTTAGTTTAGCTAAAAAAAACCAAGTCTGAGTTCTGTACGAGGGCTGCACGATTATGCGCAATCTCATTGAAATAGACATTTTAGAGTAATTAGCAAAGACTGCAAGTATAGACTTTATTGATCCCCGTAGGAGAAATAGAGTCTCTCGCTAAAAAGACTGCACTCAAGGACAATAAATAATCTAAAATTGTTTTAAAATATCTTCATGTTTGTGTAATTGGACTCTAATATTTGCCAGTAGAACAAGAATTCTTAGCATTTTTAAGCACAACTTTTTTTTCCCCTCAGTGTGAAAAATGCAGCTTTTTGTTCCTACTTCCATGACTAACTCTGCTTCATACGACAACACAATAATATTCTCAAAGACAAAACAGACAATACAGAATTATTTACAAAGAAATCTGGTTTACTGTAGTTTAATCTTTTCCCCCAAATTTAAAATTAAGTTGTTTGATTTATGCATGCATTGGTTCTTCTATACCAGACAGTTGTAAGATAGCGATGCTCCATACCTTACGGTACTTTATTACACAATTGTCTGGTAAAGAAGAACCAAATAACTTATATTCTACTAAAGCCTAGTGTATAGTTGCGCGGCGCGGACCGGCGACGTGACGTCACTTGCGCAACGCGTGGATCACCGCAAGGCCCTTACGTAGATGAAACCTTCCTAAACTATCACAATAATAATCAGAAAAATTGGTTGCATTCATGTTCTAGATTTCAGTAGGAAGGCAGGTATCAAAACAACTGACAAATAAGCATTTTCTGATTGAAATTTTAAAATAGAAAATATTTTTTGGCCTGAAAATGGACATCGTATGTGCATGTTTCTGAATATTGTCACCCCTTCTAAACACTTAAATGAGAATACAAATGGAGCATAGTTGATTAGTATTGTAGTAGTAGTTTCATATGAATTGACCAGGTATTAGAGAAATTAGCTCTAAAAAAAGACTAGTGTGACTTTTGAAAGTTACCATAGTTACACAGAAAGATTATTCACCTGTTTTTCACAAAATTTTTAAACTACTATTGTGATCACATGATTTCAACCTATAAAACATGTTGCCAAAATCGTGCAGCCCTTCTCCACCATACCAATCCGACTCTGATATGTTTATTCATACTTCACAGTAGCTGCCGCGTCACTCTTGATAAAGCACGTGCTGCCCCCTGGTGGACTGAATCGTGTCTCTGATCTGCACTAACAGCGTCTCCGGCTGCAGGCTCATAGTGGAGTGGTCCAGTCGTTTGAAGTCCTCGTTGCACAGCAGACTTTCGATGGTGTGGGCCACTCTCTGCAGATCGAAGGCCGCGTGGTAAGGCCCCAGGCTGGAGAGGGACTCTGTCTGACGGGGATAGTTAGAGGGGTCCCCCGAGGAGCAGGAGTTTAGGAAGGAGATTCGGCTGTCTGCGATGATCTTTAGAAATGATCCAAACTCGGAGTAATCAATCCCAGAACAGGCCTTCATGATCACCTGCAGAAGAAGACAACAGAGTGGGTCAATAAACACTACATGCATTTATTTTCAGATATTTTTTGCCCAAAAATATGTACAAGATATGCTTGTTCCATATGAAAGCGAGAGTGGGCATCTGGGTCAGGTTTATCATTTCCAATAAGTCAGGACAAAAAAGAGAGAGGCAGCATTTTGTTTTTATGCTCCCCGTCTGTGTAAGACTCTTCCACATCAACTGAGAACCATTCCAACTATAGGGGCGTTAAAATATGGCATTATTGTGCTGTATGCATGGTCTGTCATAAAATCCATCCAACTCATTCCTTCACTAGTTTTCAAAAGCCACATCTTTAAATCAAGTTTTTCAGACAGAAATGAGAGAGCCACACTGAATGGACTTAGAACCAATCAGCTTGCTCCCCATAAGTGCCAAATAGTGACTTACGGTTAGTTTTTACAAGTGCTGGAGGAAAAAGACTTTTTTTTTCTAATAAGATGAAGACAGCATGTCGTGGTGTGATTTGTTCTGCACATTTTACTTTGAAAGAGCATCCTTGGTTATCTTTGTCTGCTTCTTACCTGACAGTGCTGATGCCACGAGTCCATAGTGTTCCTCCATTCTTCGATCTCCTTCTGCACCGACGAAAGTTCATTTTGAAGGAACTGCCACATGATGTCGATGTTGCATCCATTCAACCAGTTGTGATTGATAGATATCGTGTCCTCCTGCAAATAAAACAAATAATGTGTGCTATAACAGGAATCTTGAAAGAAGAAATATTATGCATATTATCTTGTCTCAAACTAATGAATATTTACTTTGACTATTAGTTTTTTAATGTGTTGGAAAGGTAAAAAATATATTCAGTAAAATATATAGTATGGTATAATGCTTTTTGCCTGTAACTCCTCATGCTACCACCAGAGGGAGGTTCAGCAGTTCTCATAATACATCTCCTTATTGCTTTTAATATGTGCTTTTTTTAAAAATCTTCAATAACTTCCCTATATGTTTATGTTTTGTATCATATTTTAGTGCTTTGCTTACATTTTGCACAATACTCCAAGCCGTAATTTGTCACCACTTCTAATATTAATAATCAGTGCAGTTAGGAAATTTTGCACAAATATTCCAATGTGGTATTTTAACTGCACATGGCAAAAATAAAGTGAATCTGAATCCAAAGTGGCTCAGTTTGCTACTAACCAGATTATAGACTTGATGGTGCCAGCCGCTTGGCACAAATATGATTTCTCCCGCCTCTTGGATGATCTCCAAGGGCTGACAGGCCTGCTCCGAGTGCGAGTAGAGGTTCTTGTCTTTCAGGTCAGAGGAGGTGACATCATAGGGCAGGTTCCCGTGAGAGTCTCTCAAAAACTCCTCTTGACCCGGAGGATACAGCAGCCACTTCTTTCTGCCGCAGATGTTTGCCGACCAACTGTAGGAGCGGAATACGTCGGCGTGGAAGGGAGTCCTGGAGACACAATGCAGTGAATATGAAGGTCAAGTCCCAACTATCTATCTATCTATCACATTTGGTTGAAGCTGCTTGTGAGAAATAACAGTAAAATACATTAAATAAATTGCAATTTTGTCTCAACTCTTTGTAGTGGCTGTATTTAGGCTCTCCAGTTTAATCCAGTGCGTATAGTCTATGGATTGTGTATAGTGTCGTGAATAGTATTTTGAATGTCACTTTCTGTAGTAGCTTTTCAGTGGTCTGCCAAACCAATTTGATTTAATTTTGTATGGGCCTAAATCACAACAGTTGTTCTCTTGAAGGACTTTACAAAGTTGTCAATTCTCCAACACATATCAGAGAATCAAACAGTTCAAACACAGGGAATGCAACAATAGAAAACACAACAAGTCGTTGGTTCATCAGGGGTGTGTGTGTGTATTTGTGTGTGTGCGTGTGTGTGTATGTGCGTGTGTGAATGATTGGTTGTGGTCGCCTACAGTAGTATTTATCACCACTGTGTATTGAGGAGGATGAAGTGAGGATGTGTGGTCCAAGACATGTCGTGTGAAGTAAAACCGATACATTATTAGAAAACTGTCTTCTAAAATAAAACATATTATATTGTGCATACAAAGAGTTGCAATTCTATTATTTTTCCCTTTAACGTGTGAAAAGGTTGTTGTGACAAATGCCAAAAATACAAATGCCAATAAGCACGAGGAAATTAGGTACCCCTGCTTTAACTTATCAACTTAACTTAATTCATTTTAACTGTACTTTTACAGGGTGTTGTGTTTTTATATTGAATGTCTCTGGAGTGCACTTTGTAAAAACGTTCTAATGTGGCTTTAATCTGCAAATGGGAAATAAACCAATTCTGAACAGTACATCTTGTAAATGTGTAACACATATGATCTGACCTTGAACTATGTTCTTCTGAAATAGTTCTGAAGGTGCAAACTTCTATAAAGACCTTGTTTTATCTCTTCTGCCTTGACCTTGTTCAAACAACTAGACGAGAAACAATAACATATACCGTATACTAATAAACATGTATTGATAAACGGAAATGTTTGGTTTATTGCTTCTCAAATTGCAGTCATGTTGTGCACTTTGAATATATAATGTACAATTTGCTGTTTCATCAACATGAGTGACCTTGGAGCACAGTAAAATGTGAAATCACATTCCATTTAAATGTTAACTTTACAATTATTATAGACCTATAGAATCAAATTGTGAAATGTTGTCATACCATGATCCTTTAGGTCCCATGTATACAAATCTGTAATCATCCACTTCAAGGTGATCCCAGTATTCATTGAGCCAGTCAGAAGAGAAGAAAACAGGAGTGGTGTACATGTTATGGTCTGGAAAATCCCTGTAGAAAATAAACATAGTAATAATAATGACAACATCAGAAATAAACTGCAACATTTGGTTTTAACTTCAATACCTCGCCATGTGCCAGTCTTTCAGATAGAGGCAACCTTTTGGTGAAGAGTGTCCATTCTGAATGTATTCCTTCCAATATTGTATAAATTCTTTAAAAGGCATAACTTGTTTGGGATTTGCATTGTATTCTTTTGCATTGCAATTGGCTACAGGCACAGGAGTCTGGTCTGCAAAAAGACAGAAAGAGAGTGGTTTAAAAATAGCAACATATTAAAGCTGGGGGGTACCTATTTTCAAAGTACTCGCGATGAAATTGCTATTTTAAATGCTCTAACTAGTTCCTCACTCATAAAACAGTTTGGATCATCACTAATTCTCACATGCATTTTTATTGGTCTCTGCTTTAGACCAGCTTTTTCAGACAGAAAAGACCTCTCTTACCCAACCAATCAACTCTCAGCCCAAAGAGTAATGTATTGACTTACAGGGCTCTTTATGGATATATTAAAAACTATGCAAGGCTGTCCAATGACATGAAGACAGACCTGATTGGTTCAGAACTTGTATTTTACTTTGACAAGATTCTTTCTGTGAGGATAAACTAAATGTATTATGACAGAAAAAAGGTATAACAGTTTTAAAGTGAAATATATTATGTATCCATAAATGAAATCATAATTCAGATGTTTACCAAACTCTTGCAGCAGTTTCTGAAAATTAGGCTTGCCATCTTCAGTCACCCATTGCTTCCTACACTTCCACTCTTCTGTAAACCTCTTTGAAAACATGCACGGGTGATTAGGCAGGAGATATTGTCTGAAGAATTTTGAATAGCTTAGGTCTTTATCTATATAATCTAAGAAATGCGAGGACCAGAAATGCTCATAGGACTGTCTGGTGATTTTGACAAGGCTGCAGCAGTTTCTATACGCCTCTCTGTCCATAGTGTAAACAACGTTAGCTTAGCCCCGAAAGCTAACACCTTTTCCTAAATAGTATGAGATATTTGACGCGATTTTTGATGTGGCAGCACATTTTTGAAAGCATATTATCTTCAAACAGCACAAAGTTTCACAAAAAGTCTTCTAATAAACGCAAATATCGTGTACAAAAAAGCGATCAACATGTGATAGTGCCATTGCGAAAATCATTTGGCTCTTAAATATGCATGGCCGATATGGCAATTTCATGCAACAAAACGTAAAAATGTCCATAATTGAGCTCCGGGAAAAATCAAGTGTTTTCCGGTTTATTTTATCATGCCTAATTAAAGAAAATAGGTTAAAGCTCAAAGCGCTCTCGTGCAAGCCTTTTCCTTTGACAGCCAACTGTTCCTAGTCGGACCATAAATACGTGCGCACCATGACGCCCCTTCCGGACACGGATCTAGCTTCCGGAGTAAACATTATCGCGGAGCACTGGTCGCGAGCAACTTAAGACCACAGAAACGAGAAAACACACATTTATCTGGATACACATATAGATCAAACTAGTTATTTTCATTTTATATCAATTTATTTGTCCTATAGTGTTACAAAGTTGAGTTACACCGCGATATGCGGTTAGCGAAACGGAGAGGTCGCCACTGACGCGGACTGCAGCTGGATCTGTTGTTACACAGTAGTAAGTATGATCCATCAGGAGGAGTTGTGATTTTGCGTTAAGAAATATTGCCATTAAAGATGCTGATGTAAGTATGTAAATTAGATTATGTCTATATTCTGTAATGCCCTTCTGTGTTTATAGGGAGAGATGCACAGTTAAATTAATCATACAAAATACTGTATGATTTATATATTTTATTTGGTCATAAATATATAATGTTGCTTGTCTCTTTTCTGTCAGGCAAAGTTGATCTAAAGATATGACGGATGTGAAAACTGTAGATTTATTGAACCAGACTGTTTTGAGAGCTACAAATAGTTTTATTTGTTGTTTATTTGGTGTTTTATTACAAAGATAAATTTTCAGTCTGAACTTTTACACTCTGTACACTATTACCCCACTCCCACAAACATGCAGCTAAAGCAGAAGTTCGAATTGTCCTCCGTTCCCCTGCAGTCTTTCAGTTTAAAGATTTAGTACACTAGCTTTAATACAGTAAACTGTGTGAGTAAATGACTGTTTTAACAGTGATAATTACATTAAGAAAGTATTAAAACATGAAAAGGACAGTAAGCAAAACAAGTGAGATGTGGCAGAAAAATTTATAAAAAAAAAAAATGGTATTGTTATAGAATTTTTGAGGAGTGAAAATACACAATATTAAATATAAAATAAACAACAGGAGCTGTAGTCCAATCAAAGTGTGGTTTATTATCTCAGTAAATGTATACATATACAGGAAATACAACCGTGCAACGCGTGGCAGGTCCCGGGTAGATCTGCTGAACAGTGCTCATTCTCTCTCACATTTATAGGATGGAATAAACAAAAGAGTCTATCTATGGCGCCTCTGAGTCCGAGATTAGTCGGCAACTATGGCCCAAACCCCCCTCTCTTCTGACGTCTTACTCTGATAGACTCTGATATTACTCTGATATTAGGAAGAATTGTCAGTCTGACCGGTGAGCCCGCTCTTGTCATCCCTGCTATCAATCTCGTATCTGCCTCAACCCCGTCATTGGCCTCGCGTCTCTAGAGAAAAACAGCTTAGTTAGTTTCAATAGACTTACTGGCTTTGAACTTAGTCCCAGATATCCCATTTCATCATTAGATTTATTCTTAAGTTAAATTAATTTATAATCCCAGTAAGATTTCTATAACAATATTTTTAATTATTTGCTAAACATTTCAGTAACTTTATGCCTTAATAGTCGCCTATTTACTCGACCAAGAATGTCGACTCCAACCCTATTATATTGCATTATTTTATTTGTAATTTCCCAACAGTGGGACTAATACTTTCATTTATTCAATACCCTTTTTCTTGAATCCTTTTTCCAACATTGTGTATCACTAGTTTTCAAGTCTTTGCTTTAAAAACAAAAAAATACCATACATAATCCTCGTCTTATTCTCGTAGGTGTCTCTTCCGTGATGAGTGCGGACAGTGCAATCCACAGTTGGCCCGGCTCCTACTACCTGAACAGCGAGAAGCGATGGGAGGTCGGTACTTTGTCGCTCACTCGGACCACTGTGCGCTTCGTCTCTCACCAGAGCAAAGAAAGCCTGGCCAGCTTTCGTCTCTCCAGAATCGTGGAGATAAAGATGGAGACTTCTAGCTTCATCTTCAGCACTCTCACCGTGCTGGAGGAGGGCAACGTGAAGCACTGGTTCGGCTCGCTCAAACCCAACAGGCTGGTGGTGTACAATGTTTTGGAGCATTTTTGGAGAGAGCGCTTGCTTTCTTCGAACAACTCTGAGACTCGGGGAGCGGAGAGCCAGCCGACCAAAGGCAGACAGCTAATAAATCTGGTGTCAGGGGCCCAGAGACGGCTGGAGGACACGGGGATGGTTCTGAGTCATCAAGGAGAGCAGTTTGATAACATGATGCAGGGGCTGGAGAAGATGGACTCGGACCTGGGCGTGGCTGATAAGTGAGTTACAATCACTTTATAGCGTGAAAAAGACAGGATCACCCTCACTCAGCCAATCAGCTCTCAGTCCAGATGTCAAATCGTGACTCATGTAGGTCAAGCATGTAAAAGATTTTGGTTTCAGTCCTAATCGAACATTTTACTCTATCAAGACTTTCTATTGTTCTACCTTTGCATTCCTTAAATATGATCGATTCCTACAGTATAAAAGACAACAGCTAATGTTATTATTTTGTTTAATGCCTTTTGCTTCAGAAGAGTTGACGGGGCACTTTTAATAATTGACATGTTATTAATAGTGTTAATTATGTGTTTATTTGATGTGATGAGAATAATAGGCCAGTTCCCGAGCAGATACAGATGGGAGAGTTCAGTGATACACATAGAGTGGTAGTGCCCTGATACACACGGTTTCTGCTGACATCAACACAACTCAGAAAGTGTGTTCGTATTTAGTGTCTGTCCTATTTACGTTCTCTATTCTTGCACACGGTGTGGTATTTTTACGCGGCCATTTATCCCGTTAGACAGGGAGAAGGCTTGATATGTTTTTAATTGCTATGAATCTGATGACTCAGATTCTTGCACAAAGAATTGGACATCTTTGAGGGTCCAAAAAAGCGCTATATAAAACCTCTGCATTATTATTTATTATTATTCAGAGTCAAATCATTTTTGTCAATACCACCCACTTTGGTGTCCTCATTCTACAGAAAGGTTTGATGTACTTCCTTGTTCATGTTTTAAGGGAGACACTGTATGCAAAATCGACTTTGGATAATCAACAATTGAAAATTGTTGCTTATCAAAAACAGACCTGGACCATAGGTCCATCCATGATAATATTTCTGGCAAATAAATGTAACGCCGCCCCATACGCTCAGAGCAGTTTCTCTTCCTTTTAAAACAAGTATTTCCCTTTAAAAAATAAAACGTATACACTTCCCTCTGATGGTAGCATAGGTATAGGGCAGTTTTATTTACCCTTGTTACTTGTTTGACCATACATTTTCTATGTGATGTATTATTTAACATTCTAAAATATGAATTGACAAAGTAAATAGTCTCATTATAATTTTACTAGTAAAAAATAATTATTAAAGTATTTCTTTAAAGTTGATTATAAGACATAACCATTGTTTGTCCTACAGTGCGGAAAGATAATGAGGTGATAAGTCTGTGGTATGATCTTGTTTCAGACTCCTGTCCGAGCTGGAGTTGCCGTCGTGGTGGCCTTTCGGCAAACTTCCCTGGAAGCTGCAGCAAGAGGCCAAGGCGGAGGACGCGGCCCGAGCGGCGATCACGGCGGCCGAGGCAGCAAACAAAACCAGGAACCGGGTCATCAGCAGCATCCCGGCCGTGGTGTCGAAAGGCCCAGACTCCGACCTCAGACCGGGCTGCCTCCTGGTGCTCGTGTCGTCCGTGGAAGTGCGGGACACAAGCTGCGCTCTGCTCCACCGCTTTGAACGCAACGAGGTGGACGAGATCCGCGTGCACAGCCCCTACGAGGTCAGCGTCAGGCAGAGGTTCATCGGGAAGCCGGACATTTGCTTCAGGCTTCTGTCGGCGAAGATGCCCGAGGCCATGTCTGTGCTGGAAATGCAGTACAAGAAGAAAGTGGTGTTTAGTCCCGAGTACAATGTGTTTAAAGCTTCTCCGCTCACGTCTCCCACCGACGCTCACGACGCCCTGCAAGGTAAAGACGCACACATGTGTTAACCCTTTTTTTGATTGTCCAAGATGTAGGAGCAGTAATGACTAATAATATGGTTTTATGTTTACGGGCTGCAAACATATTGCATATGCATATGTATAATGTCATCCAGATAAAACTGAATTCGAGGCCATACTATATATTATATTGTTTATTCTTCCGTTAAAGTTTATTTTGTTATATTTAACTTTTGTTATTATGGATGTCACTTTTTCTTGAATTAGATAGATAAAGATTCCTTTTTACTATATATACTCTATATATTATCATTATTGAATGAAAATTATCAAAGAAAATGTGTAAATTTGAACTAATTTGATGAAAGAGGTTATATAAAAAGTGAATTGTTTTGATGTCCTTTTAAATCAGCCTGTCTTTCCTGCTTTTGTCCAGAGGGTGGCAGTAGAGCTATAGAGTTAGCAGAGCAGTGGCAGAACGACTTTTTGAACAGTAGTAAATGTGGATGAGTCACTTGCACCTGGAGGCCTCTGCTCTCTGGATGGTCTGTCTCCCCATAAACAGCATGTGCCCTGTGTGCCTCTGCCCCCACCCCCACAGGTCTGAGGGGCCAAGACTTGGAGCTGCCCGGGGAGGTCCCAGCCGGAGGAGGACTGTCCCAGCTGCAAGTGCATGTCCAGCAGCAGAGCGTGAGCCAAGAAGAGGCCCAAGAGCTCAAGCAGGTGAGGGCCCCCAGGGAAGGGGCAGGATACAGTTGTCGTTACAGCAGTACGCAAAAGTTTGGGATTATTGAATGTTATTGGAATTTTGTGGTTTGATTTAAAACGGGCTGTCTATGCTCGTTGCTTAGGTGAGGTTCATAATCAGATCGAGGCAAAATCCAATTTTTACTGAGACTCAAATTAAAAAGACACTGTCTGAATCCACTTGAATAAAAGTTACTCAAAAATGTGTAGCGTACGTAAATGTAAGGTAAAAGAGATGACGAAAATGTAGCAATAGTTTAAAGCACTGAATAGTTTGTTTTGCATGTGTTACGCTGATGTATCCTTTGGAGCAAGGTTCTGTGGCACGGTAGCACTTGGGCTTCAAAGTGAGAAGGTTGAATCCACCTCCAGGCCTTTCTGTGTGCATGTTGCATGTTCTCCCTGTGTCTACACTAAACACATGTACAATAGTTCAGGGTGAATGAGTGTTTGTGAGTGTAGGATGCAAATCACCCCAAGTCTACAACACAGAGAGTCGTGTTCATTAACATGCACTGTCCCAACCAAATAACTAATTAATACATGAATACAAAATGTGTCCAACAATCTAATGATCCCAACCAGTCAATAGTGGTAAATACCCACTCAGTAATAGATAGCACTTTGAATGGGTTCAAATCCCTGTCAGAACAGGGTCTTTCTGAGTGGCGTTTGCATGTTCTCCCTGTGCCTGCAGGTGCGCCAGTTTCCCCTACCACTAAAAACATGTACAAAAGGTTAAATCCTCCAGCTCTGGTAGTCCTGACCAAGCCCAGCATCAACATCTGGAGATGGGTTCCCGGGCGCTGTTACTACGGCGACCACTGCTCCTGACGTTAGCCTCAGCGGCATCAGGATGGGTCAAATGCAGAGGATGAACTGCCCTACGGGGATCAATAAAGTGTACCTTTAGCTATGGCTGTTGTTAGTTGGAAAAGAAAAGGCAGTCTATAACAATAACCATATTTATTGGATAAGCCCCTTGACATGAATCATCTCGTATTCAAGGGGGTCCTCAAGATATAACATAAAACAAACCATGTTCCATTTTTTAAAGGAAAAAATGGAAAGTAAGTAGAATATGTCATAAATGTGAAATGAAGGAGGAGAAGAAAAGAATCATCAAAACATTTCTTATTGACTCCAACAGAGGAAAGGAGCTCCCTCGTGTCTGACCGCTGCTTCAGAGACATGCATCTGGATCATTTTTTCCCAAACCAAATTTTAATATGATTTTCGCTCGACTATATTTGATCCGAGCCGTTCCAAGCACCGGTTAAGCGAGACCTCAAACCAAAAAGGCCGAACAGGTTTTTACGACGGGAAAAGAGGCTCGGCTGGTTGTCTTTCCATTCGCAGCCTCACAACACGACACTCTGGTCTGACGCTGCGGTCCATAAAACAACAACTGATGCATTTCAACACTGATACGATGCAGACCTTTAGCACAATGCAAAATCATAAGAAAGTAGTGACATTTAAAGGGGTAAAAGTGGGAAGTCACATCAAACACGTCGTTGAAGTTGTAACATGAATTTCCTGGACATATTCCCAAAACTAATTTGGAGGGAACTTTTGTACTTTTGCTTTAAAAGAGGCAGACAAACAGACATCATGGTCTAAAGATTTGTCCAAGCGTTCCAAGTCGAAGATATATTAGCATGGAAGGAGCTAAAATAACCCCAGGTCTGTTGTTGATGAAGGAGCAATGTCGGAACGTGGGTGTCACAATTATTTTGCATAGTTTGTAATTCATGTTGGGTTTTTTTGGTGTAGCCCTAAATCACATCAGGAGTCGTCTCGGATAACAACAACAACAGATTAGAGAATAAAACCGTTGGAACACAGGAAATGCAATAATAACAAACACATAGTAGGAATTATTTAGCTTATCAATCATTCCATAAAATAATAAAATAGTTATATGGTACTGAACAAGTACCATATAACAAACAAGAATAGGATATTTCTTATTTAATTAAAAAAGTTTGTAATACATTCTGCTATAGTCACTTTTTGTCACCTTTAATTTAATCCATCCATCTTCTTCCCCTTAATCCATTTCTGTGACGGGGGGGTGGCAGTCAGAGCTGCTCCCAATCCACAGAGCACCAGCCCCTCACTGATCCTGCTGCAGGTGCTGAGTCCACAGGAAGAGGGCTGCTCTGTCAGTGAGAGCTTAGCCTCAATGATCTTTCAGCGGGGCTTCAGGCAAAGTGAGGTTAAGTGTCTTGCCCAAGGACACAACCACAGCAGACATCAGTGGGAGTAGGTGGAGAAGGTCTCGTGGTTGGCTCAAACCCTCAACCTTCATACTCTAAGGCCAATGCTCTACCAATTGAGCTACTGTTGCCCCCACTTTTAATACAATTGTAAATTAAAGTCTAGGCTCTTTTCACTCTTTAACATGTACACACATTTCTCCATTGTGAGATCAATAAAGTTAATCTTATCTTATCTTAACCCAACAACCTTTTTTATCACCAGCATCAGAAAGCCTCTTCTTTCTCCTCTCAGCCTGTTTTTGCTCCGCCCGCTCCCATCCGCCACACGCACACAGCCTCCGCCTCGGACACTATACTTTCTCTTCTGTCTCTTCTAACCCTTTGACATTTAATTATCTGTTTTATTAAATCCCACAGACAAAAACGAGCCCGTATGATGTTAACTTGGAGCCGCCCCGGGTCACCGCACCACATCTTAAACACCGTTATCAACGACAACACAGAGCGGGCCGCGTTTCGCCTTGTCTATTGTGCTTCTAAATGGCGCCCTGTGTGGACTTGATAACTGCTTCTAACTTCAAAGCCTCCAGCCCTGGTCCTAATGCTACGGTCGCACACACACCCTGCTCTCAATGTAATTCATTTCCAGATTACAATCTACAGACCGCCGCGGAGGCTTTAGTGCTCTGGCAAATATTCTATCCCCCTTTTTTTCATTGTACGTTTTGCAACATCAGGACAAACCGGGTCAGGCGCAAAAAGAAAAAGAATGGCGTGGCAGCTTTCATAGAGAAGCTTTAAACAGAACTTGGAATTTTAGCTCGATTTTCGGATGCATATTTACGCCTAGTCTAAATGTTTGAGCAAGCCGCTTTCTCCTCCACTTGTGTCTCCTGAGCGATTTATAAGCAAAGGCTAAAAATACTGGGCGAAGGTGCGATGTCGTCATTCCAGCCTGGATTTACACTTTTTTTTTGGACTTACTTACTACCTGTTTTTGAATGAGTGTCTGGAGCAACGTTGTTATTATGAAATCCAGCTGACATCATGTCCTTAGCTGTGTACAGTACGTGTGAGAAGGAGAGCATAATATTAGTTTTGAAGCTGCGAAGGTGGGCTACGGATTGATTTTATTATGAGGTTTGGTTTGGCACGTTTGGAATACATTTAAGGCATTCCATCAACCATAACGTATACAGTAGTTGGGCAGAGGAGATGTTGTTGGTGGGGCAGACCACAGAGCGAGAACAGAAAAAAATAAGATCGTTAGCAGACTGTTGTATTTAGTTTTGTTTTATACTTTAGAAAGACGCATTGTCGTCCTCATTCAGGGCAAGTTCAATTCAATGTATCTTTCCAATCTCAATGTATTTTTGTATAGCCCTAAATAACAACAGCAGACGTTGCTGGAAATATTTCTAGTTAAATGAGGATTTTATCGGAGGATTTCCCAGAATTTTAGGACAGGACTGCCCTCTTCAGAGAGAACGCCTAATTAAAAAAGTGTATTGCACCAGGCAATACACTTGGTGGCTGAGTGGATAGCACTCTCGCTTCTCAGCAAAAAGGTCCTGGGTTCGAATCCCGGTCGGAATAGGGCCTTTCTGAGTGGAGTTTGCATGTTCTCCCTGTGTCTGCGTAGGTTTCCTCCGGGTGCTCCGGTTTCCCTACCACTAAAAACATGCACAATAGGTATGAATGTGAATGAGAGAGTGAATGGATGGTGTTGGAGCTGATGGTCCAGTGTGTTCTGGACTCGCTTCTGTCATCACCGTGTGTGGAATGATTGGAACAATATCTGAACTCTGAACATTGTAAAGTGCTTTGGGTGACCTTGATCTGTAAAATGCACTATATAAATAAACATTACTTACTTACCAGAATGATTGACAATTAGAAAGAATAGTTTAGATGATCCACCCAGAAGAAATTCCTCCCATATACCTTTAAGTCAGAGTGCCTCAGGCTTTCCTCTCTGTTTTCCACTTGATTAAGATACAGTTTGCCAAATTTTAGCACATTTTAAACTTATTTTGACCATTTGAATTTCAGTTTTGACAATTCCCAGGACAATTGCCTAATTTATGGATTAGGAACCCAGTGTTACTATGACAACAATCTTTATCTATGCGTTACTATAAACATATAACACATCCTCAACTAAATCTAACTTGTACTTTATTACTTCTACTACCACTAGCACAAAATAGTCAACATAGTGGCCCAAAAAAGGCAGAGGGAGTATTTTCCTTTTAATGTGAAAAGAAATATTTTAATAAGAGCAGCTTGAGAACACGGTCACTATTTCTGCTTCTGTTCTGTTCTGCGTTTTTTTTCTCTCTCTCTCTTTCTCTCTCTCTCTCTCTCTCTCTCTGCGGTGGCTGTGGCTGATTGTGTTGGAGCGTAAATACCAGCGTGTCCTGTTTGTTTTGCCAGATGCTGCTGCAGCTGAAGAGCCTGGCCCTGGAGGCAGAGACGGAGCTGGAGCGGCAGGACGAAGCTCTGGATGTTCTGACCAACTCTGCAGACAGGACCACCATGCAGATAGGCAAGCACACCAGCCGCATCAAGAGGCTACTCTGAGGCCAACGCTGGGAACACCACGTTTACTGCTCAACAATAATGTGAATCAATATGGGGTCATTCTGGGTTTGAACATATTTGGATTTTACTGAAGGAGACACACTGCAAAAAGTGATAAAAAATGAGGTGTTAAATGCTTGAATCGTGTTGGTTTTGATCTTAATTTGAGGAGATTCTGACAAGATTTGCTAATGGGACAAAGGCATTTAGTCTCAAGAACTGTTGGGTTTTTTTCTGATTCCAAGGGAGACATTTATTTTTAAAACAAGATAATTTTTCTTTTTCCATTGGCAAGTCTTGTTTTAAATATCGCAGTTAAAATGTGCTGAAATCAAGATACATTTTGCCAAATTTTGGCTATTTTTTCATCACTTTTTGCAGTGCATGTTTTGTGCCGTGTGTATTGTTTTGACTTAATCAAAAAGGTTTATCTCCAAACCCGTACAACACAATTTCACAGAACACAAGTCCCAGCAGGAGGCCAGTCCCTGTGCTCCTCAAAGTCCCAGCAGGAGGCCAGTCCCTGTGCTCCTCAGAGTCCCAGCAGGAGGCCAGTCCCTGTGCTCCTCAGAGTCCCAGCAGGAGGCCAGTCCCTGTGCTCCTCAGAGTCCCAGCAGGAGGCCAGTCCCTGTGCTCCTCAGAGTCCCATTCATATTGCACTAACATGTCACAGATGTACTTTGGTGCGAGGCCTTGGAGAGACGACACATTGAGGACCTGCTCCGATGTTCTCGTTAATGTATATACAGGGTTTGGTTTTAATTATTTATTTTCTCTTGAAAGAATGATCTATAAGTGATGTAAGTACACAAGAAATCATTTAATCAAGCCAAGATCTAAGATGGGGATTGCCAACATTTAACCCCAGAGAGCTACTTTTTATAAAAATGCCTTAGATGTGGTTGAGTAAGACACCAATGAAACAAACTAAATGCAAACGGTATCTTTCTGTTACAGTGACACTAAAAACCATACTGTAGCTGTAGACACGTGAATCATAACATTTCAAATATTCACCAGATAATTTGTCATTTCTAAATCCTTAAGAGCACGACTTGAAATTTTGTGAATAGATTCTAAGATAGGATGCAACTCGAGCCCCCTGTTTTTGTGGCTCGCAAATAGAACATTAAAAACGATATATTTAGTATTTAGCTTGCAGTCTTAAATTAATTACTGAGGGAATCTTTTTTAATCAAGAAAGAGGATTTTAACGACTCAATGTTAAATACATACTTGAGAAAAATACTGTTTGAATAGCATCGCAGGCTTGATTGAGAAATGCCCTGAGTTAGGTAGGTCCATTGATATTAAAGGTGACGATAATGCATTTATGAACACTTTCCCCATGTCTATGTTTATTACTGTAAATACAAGATGAATTCTACAGCATCAATCAAATATTCAGGTCATTATTTATTACTGTCAAAATGTCAAATCGATCATTTAAATGGATTGTGCAATTGAGTTCAGCTAAACTTTTGTATATAGGTCTGCAGCACCTTAATTGTGTTACTCGGACACATCTAAAGAAGTCACCACGTTCTTCTTGTTGTGTGTGGGTATGATGCCCTCGATTGTACGCTACATGTTTACAACCATGATTTAATCTGTGCCAAGTGCATTTGTCGGATGTTTTTGTTGTTTACATCACCATCTATTGCCTGTACGTGCACAAATAAAATACATGTCAGATAACTGTCTATTTGAAAATCTGAAATTGCAGCTACGATATACAGTGGAAAATAGAGTGATTGACAATGGTCAGTGTGTGTGTGTGTGTGTGTGTGCGTGCGCGCCCCTGTGTGTGTGTGTGTACGAGTACAAGTGTGTTTTGTGAATGAGTGATAGTATTTTGAGCCTAATAATCATTTGCTTTGTCCAACCCCTTTTCAAACTGTAAGATTGAACTTATGGTCTTTAATGAGTCTGGTGTGTGTGTGTGTGCGTGTTTTGTGTGTGTGTGTGTGTATGTGTATGGTGGGGGTGGTCAGAGGGGCCTCGCTTCTGTCAGTTTGTCCAGGGCAGCTATGGGCAAGTGAGGCTACCAGGCTGTGCCATTGGCCTTTCCGGCGACCACCAACCATTCACGCACACACCAGACTCAGTCTTAGTAATATGTGTGAAGTGTCTTGCCTACGGACACAATGACAGTTTAGCACCCACTGTGACACCTGATGTTCCCAGAGGTCTTCCATCCCGCTAGGATTTTAACCAGGCCTGCTTAGCTTCAGAGGTCTGACAGGATCTGGCTGTCACGTGCATCTGTTACCTCTTTTCCACTTTGCCTTCACATTATTTTGGTCTATTTGTTCTTGTTGTCATAAATACACATTCAGACATTGAAAAGATACATATTAAAGGGTAGGTTATGCAAATTTTTGACAGCAAATTTAACAGCAATTTCACAGATTCATTTATTTACCATTTGACACAGTGAAATCGATCGACTAAAACGGTTTCAATACAAAGGCAAGATCATTAAAGTGCTCTGTTTGAACTGATAACAGCTTGTGGAAAGAAACTGTTAGCATTTAGCATGTTAGCATATCGAGATGTCCTGGATCTCAGCGAACGATATCTTCTGCCCGAGGGAAGAAGCTGGAACATGGCTTTTCCAGAGTGACCAGAAGAGTCTTTGATTATTCTAAAATACAGCACATTAACACCAGCTCTATGCATCTTTTATCGGCCACATTGACTAATAATTATTGGGAATGTCCTTGGAAAACCCACAGAGATTGACCCTTTAATCCGGATCCCAAACCCAAAGAAGTAAAGCATTCTTTTAATAAGTGTAATATAGTTTCTTCGTTACACAAACAGCGTATATATTGCATAAGACTTTTAATGTTGGTATCTGCTCATTCCTCCGCCCGCCCAGAATGACGCACACGATCCACTGCTTTATCTCAGTCTCACTTCAGCTCGTATTTTATAGAAAATTATCTCTCGAAAGCCGTTTTGTAACGCTTCCACGGTTTTATTACATGTTTTGAAATTATAATGGGCAAACGTTTTCGACAGCAGAATCAGTAGTGCCTTGGCATAGAACGGCAATTAAATCCCCGATGCAACAAAAGTTATTGAGTGCAAAGAAAATAAAGCATTCGTCGGTGGGAATAAGCACGAGCCAAAGTATGAGACTAAATTATAACATGGCTGTAAGGCAGAAGTCTTCCGCCAACTGTAGCGGTGTAGATGGTGAGAAAAAGAAATAAGAAAATAAGATGTTCTCATTGGAAAGAGAAGCTGGATTGTCCAACGCTGCATGATGGCGATCGATGGTTGCCACCTGCTGCCGTTTTGGAGCCGCAATCCATGATGTAATAAGTTTCTAAATGTCAAAGAGGGATAAAGAGAAAGGGCTGGGTATGAGAATCCACTTCCTGATACTGAAAAGAAATTATTTATGGACATTTATCAACATTTATGGACATTGGTCATCTACCCCTTATGGCTCTATGTCTTTTTTTTAAATCTCTGATCTGTGTTTGCAAATTCAACAGTTTAGTCAAATTCAACGTCCTCCGAGAAAACTTTGAGATTTAAGGCTATACAAAACTAAATTGAGTTGAATTGAAATCCTGATACTATTTTGTACAATTTTGGTTTCATCAGCTGAAGGAATCCGCTAAGAAAACTATTTTGGAAGTTCTGTTATTTTTACCATATTCTTTCTTGCCTATTGTGAAATTGACTTCGAAAAGGTTGTGTTTGTCGGTACTTATTGACTATGGTCTAGTTATTTTTTACTGAGAAGTGGTGACAATGCTTAAAAACAAATCCATGATGTCGTCCAGTAGAAAAGATTTTCAGACATCAGAATAATACGGCAGGGTTCTGAATCTAAAAGCTATGGCGCCTGCCCTCCAATGGAAATCAAATTTGAGAACATGTAGGCAACCTATTTGAGTGTAGTGGACCGAAAGAGGCTGGCCCAGACCAGAAGGACTGTACTGCGGCGGCACGGTGGCTGAGTGGATAGCACTCTCGCCTCTCAGCAAGAAGGTCCTGGGTTCGAATCCCGGTCGGACCAGGGCCTTTCTGAGTGGAGTTTGCATGTTCTCCCCGTGTCTGCGTAGGTTTCCTCCGGGTACTCCGGTTTCCCCTACCACTAAAAATATGTACAATAGGTCTGGCATGTGCCTCCTGTACTGGCACCTCCCATCTCTGTGTGGAGTGAGAGACAAATGCCCAAAATTAACAATTGTAAACCGCTTTGAGACTCAGATCTGCAGTGAAAAGGCGGTATATAAATAAAAACTTACTTACTTACTTACTTACTTACTGGGCTGAGAGACAGGAGGGTCCTGGTCAAACTAACATGTATGCTGGACCATGACCTGCAGGACACTCAGATCTGGAGAGCAGCTTCAGTGACAGACTGATCCACCCTTGCAGTGTGAAGGAGAGTTTCCTCAGGTCCTTTCTTCTTGCTGCCGTCAGACTGTACAATGAGAACAGCTGAGCCTGGACATGTGTCATTCATCTGTTTTGATCATTCACTTTTCTCGTCACTAGTCACCTTACCAATACCTGCTGCTATTATTACTATTGCTTATCAAGTCGTATTCTCTGCTAATACAGTACAAAACCAACACTTCACACACATCACGCTTTACTCACAATGTTTAATCACAATGTTTAGTATTATTACCACTATTTAGCCTTTCTGTTCAACTGGATATATATATTTTTTTTATTTAAAGCTGGAATATTTAGCTTTTTTAATTCATAAAAATGTGTTTACCTCAACGAAATGTGTTGTATAACTAACTTGTTGTGAACATTTCAAAGCATTTCATCTTTCACATACTGAGAGCTGATTGGCTGTGTGAAGGCTGGTGCTCACATTTTTACTGAAAAATCTAAATCTAAATATGTAACGTGGGCAAAAAAACCCCCCAAAATACATGAGTGATAGAAGAAAACTGTTTTGACAGCTAAAACTACAGCTACATGGATTTGTATCACATTGTTCATGGGTTTGAAGTTAG